CCAACCTCCCAGAGCCAGGCCCGGGGCCCACCATGTATACCTCTGAAGCGATGGGACCTGAAGACAGCGCCTCGGGGCGCCCCGGGCGCAGCGCACCCGCAAAGAATCAACCCAAACGCTCAACGCCGACCATACGCTCGGTGCACCCAGGACCCAAAGGGAAACCCGCAGGCCCCAAGAAGGCCCCAGACCAGAAGCCAGGCGAACAGGCGGCCCCCAGCGAGTCGGAGAAGGCGGCGATCCAAAAGCGCGCGGAGGGCCGGACCAAGGTCCCACCCAGGTTCAGGGACAGCATCAAGCGTTTTTTCTTCTCACCCACGGGAGCGTTGAAGATCGTGCGGCTGGTGAGTAGAGAGAGCTGGGGACTCGGCTGGGCAGAGGCTGGGCATAAGCAGGGCAGACGCCGGCCTCGGCCTTAGGAAACCTTCCCTAGTTGCCTCTGCCAGGCACCCTTGGTTTTGTTGTTGTTTATTGTTGAAAGTATTACAGATGTCCCCTTTCACACCCTTCCTCCTCCTCCCTTCTTGTTCCTTACACACTCGAACCTTACTAGAAAGCTGGCTTCTTTTTTTCCTGTCCTACTTTTCTATTTCTCGGGTTTCCCCTCACAAAGGGAATTAGGGAAGCAATGAAGATGAGAGCAGAAGTGTGTAAGTTAGCAAACACAAATAATAGAACTGACCAATAAGGTTGATAAACCTCTGGCCAATATAACGGGCACAGGGGGAGGAGAGGGCCTATATTCAAAGTTAGAAGCTAGAAAGGGAAAATAATCTCAAACCCCGATAAAACGGAAAAGATCCAAATCAGTTTGAATAATTGGACGAAACAGTTGATTCTTCTAGGAAAATGCAAATCGCCAAAAGTGATCCCAGAGAAGAGAAAAACCTAAACAGCCCAACATGAGCACAGAACAAAATGAGAACACGTATCAAATGAGTATCTTTCAAAAATACATCCGGCCGGATTTCTGCACAGGTTAACTCTTTCAAGCCTTCAGGGGACGTAATTCTGATACTATTCACAGTTTTTCAAAGAACAGAGAAAAAACACTTCTGAACTATTTTTACAAAGTCAATAGAGCAGTGATAATCAAAACCTGATGAAGTTCAGAAAAAGAAATCAAAGTGGAAATCTCACTTGGATCAAAGTCATAAGTATTCATATATTAGCAGAGAATATTCATCAGAACTTTTGAAAATTACACCACGAAGAAACATAAGATGATTCAATATTAAAATCATATTAAACTAATCCACCATATTATCATAAGTACAAAGAGAAAAAAATAGTACTAGTAGCATCCAAAACACATTTGACAAGATTCAACATTCATCTCTGATTGCATGAGAGAGAGAGAGAGAGAGAGAGAGAGAGAGAGAGAGAGAAGACCAGTAGAATAGAAATTCATAGGTATTTCACTGACATTGTAAAAACAAACCCAAAAGTCAGCATCATATAAATTAAACATCAGAAGTATTCCCATTAAAATGAGGAACAAAGACAATGCCCACTCTCAATGCTGTTACTTAATATTTTTCTGGAACCACTAGTCATCACAATTAGGAAAAAGAAATAAGAACATTTTGAAAAGAGAGACAAAATATATCATTTCTTCCAGCTGATATCTAAAAAACTCCAAGTCAACTGGGAAACAGTTTAGAATAAGGTAACTTCTACTAGCTCATTAGTAGAAATGAGCAAACAAGCACTTCAAATAAAAGAAAATAGTTTTGTTTACAACAGTAGTCAAAATAAGAATCTAAGATTAAATGAAATAAATTTGAAAGACCTATATGAAGAAAACTTTAAAATTCTATTGAGAGATATTTAAAAGCCACTAAAATAACAGAAAAGACACACTTTGTTCTTGAATAACAAGACCAAATTTTGCAATAACTTTTCCAGATTATAAATTAAATGAAACCCCAATAAAAATACTACCAAAAGGCTTAATTGGGGAACTTGACCAAGACAAGCATGGGAGGCATAAAACAATCTGAGAATGAGTATGGGAAGGTCAGATAATACGATATAAAACAAATTTCCTGTCATTTCAAAAGTACTAGAAAAGAAATATCTAATCAATGGAGGAGAACGGTCTCAAAAAAGACCCAATTCACCTGAGAATTTAGTGTATAATAAAACCTGGCTATTAAGTCAGTGGGGGAAATAATGGTGTTTCCCAATAAATGATGTTGGGATCATCTGCAGCTATTTGGAGAGAAAGCAAGCTAGACTTCTCCCTTACTCTATCAGAATCAATATCTACTTTCTCTGTCTGTATATACATACTTCTTTCTGGTAAAAAAAAAAATATACACTGTTAACAGTGGCTACTTTTAAGGAGACAGACTAGGGTTGGGTTAAGGGAGGTGAAAGGAACTGACTTTTTTTTTACCCTCCTCTACTGTGTGCATTTTCATTATTTGTGTGTATTATTTCATTTCTTAAAAGTACAAAAATTTAAAAAAATAAAGTGTATGTTCAAGACAATACAGGCAATTTCAATATAGTCCAGATTTGCATTTGACAATTTATGGTGTGTGTGTGTGTGTGTGTGTGTGTTTTAATAGTCCATGTGCATTAAAACAAAACCTGTTTCTTTTACTGCAGGGTCTTCTCATAGCAGCATTAACTTGTTTCATCATCTCTGAAGCCCAAGACTCATTCATAGCGATCACAGTTCTGGAACTCTTCATCGTTATTTTATTTATTCTAATATATATGCTAACCCTTCACCACTTGCTGACTTATATACACTGGCCCTTACTTGTAAGTGTTCCTTTTCATCATTCAAATATAAGCTTTGCCCTCAGCCCCAGAGGAGAGGCCCTCTTTACGTGAAAACACCCAGAGCTATCTCTCTGGACAAGGACATAGCTGAGCTCTGCCAGTGAGGGTGCTGCCTGTCCCCGGGGAGAAACTAGCCTTGGGCCCCTCTGTCTACAGGGCAACCAGCACACACACACCTGCTTCCACCTCATTATGGTTCTGAACACGTGGCGCTTCGCAGCTTGTCCGAAAGAAATTTTTCATTCACATAGTCAGTCGGCACACATGTCTTACCTATTGCTTGTAAAACAGACATGCTTCCACTTTTCAAACAGCACCCTCTCTAACAGATTATAAACACGCCCCTTAAAAGCAGGAGCGGACACGGCAGAGGTATAGAAAATGGTCACGCATGCCCTGAAAGGCTGCAGGAGTCAACCTTTCCATGTGTGTTAAGGGTCCGTACTCCCCAAAGGGTGCTGGATGGTAGAGTATTCAGGAAAGGACATTGCACGTTCTAGCTGCTTCGGCATCCCAGAGTCTTTAGCAACTGAAAGTTCCTGAAGCTAATCCCTCCGGTCTCAGATCAACGCTATTTATTGTGGAGCCTGAGTCTGCAACCTCAGACTGGAGAGGGAATTCAGTTTTGTTTGGGTATAGACATGGGCCTAGTTCCTGGCTCTGTGAATGTCAGCCTCAGTTTCCCCATCAGGGAAGGAAAAGTGTGATCATAATCACTGCCTCACAGGGCTCCTGTGACACTTAAATGTGTTTAAAGCAACTAGCACAACGCTTGGCACACAGTAAAGATTCATTACGAAGTGTCCAGCAGACCCTAGAAGGTTCTTTTCCCTCAAAGGGTGGCTTTTACCAGTTGGATTCGCACTGCCGACAATCCTCACTCTGAGCTCAGACCTCGTCCACACCCCGCTTCCTAACAGTACCATTCTCTAGCCTTAAGGTAGAATTGGTTGCTATGGAGCTAAAACTCAAATGTTTTCTTCAAGTGTCTGAGGGATTTTCTGAAAAGGCTGCTGAGCTCTCTGTCCCACCGAGTGCTGAGCAACAGGAAGCAGACAAAGCAAGCTCTGAGCAGCTCCCATTGGACACATGAAGACCCTGTTAGTGGTGGAGAGTTCTAACCAGGGAGAGGTTTCTCGGGGGAAACTGAAATCACTGTCCACGGAAATGTCCGAGAAGGGAAGGTAAAGTAACTTTCTGAGCACATGCCATGCGCCAGATACGTTTTCATATGTATCACCTTGTTTAATCCTCACAACAGCCCGATGAGGTTGTAGTCACCCCCCATGCCCCGTTTGACAGGGGAGAACATTGGACTAAAGGGTTGAGTTGCCCATGGTCATGTGTAGGCGTGGAAACTCAGATTTGAACCCAGGTCTGGCAGACTCCGAAGCTCAGATTCTTTGGGACTTTTTGCCCTGTTGCTTGTGATGGTTTCTCTGTTTCCATCCTCCCTACATCTTTGTTCTCCCCAGAGTCTAAGAATTGTATGTTCTCTGTATCTTGTCCTGTTTCCTCTTGGTTTCCTTCAGATTTGGAGCCAAGGATGGACTGATTGTCCTAGGGATGTGGGGGGGAGAGGCCCTTGGGAGTGGTGACTGAGGGTCCCACAGCACCAAGGTCAGAGCCGTGGGCAGGAGGATCCCGTCAACTGCCATGAAGCTGGAGAGAGCCTCAAGGCCCCATGCCTGGCTGCGAGGCCC